TTACTATTACTATTACATATTAGTAATTTCCGTGATTATGATTAGTGGTAGTTTTGCAGCGTAATGAATTCGTAATAATAATAACAACAAGTTGCAAAAAAAATTTCGTAAGGTGATTTACTTATATGACAAATAACATTACTATTACAAAAACCATAATTATAATAATATAAAGCAACAACAATATAAGAATAGTATCATAATAAAAATCTTCAAAAAGCATAACGCATCATTTAAAAAAAAGTGTGTCTACTTATCACAAAATTTAGAAACAATTGATAATTATTATACTAGCAATAATAGTATATGTAGTTGTTATACGAGTAAATACTTGTAGTGGTTATAATAATAACAATAATTAATAATTATCATAGTAATTGTAATAGTAATAGCCATTGTGACTGTAGTTGTAATTATAATAGCTGTATTGGTAGCGTTAATAATAATATCATCTATAATAATGTCATCAGATACCAAGCCTACAATCTAAATGTTGAAACTGAAGAAGAAATAGACCAATTTGCAATTGATGTTGGAAAAGAACTTGACGAAGAACAAACTCAACAACTCTCCGATTTGTTGTATAAGTACCATGATATATTTGCTTGGGAGAAGTCCAACATTGGAAGAACCAACATGACGTAGCATAGTATAGATCTAACTGACTTGAGACCAATTAGAAATCAATCAAGAAGAGTATCTCCGGATAGAAGGAAATTTATCCAGGAAGAAATACAAAGAATGTTAGACGCGGGATTCATTCGTGAATTGAATAGTGAGTATGTCTCAGGAGTTGTAGTAGTAGAAAAGAAAGGAGGAGACTTACGATTCTGTATAGACTATAGAGACTTGAATAAAAAGACCAAGAAGGATTCTTATCCTTTACCAAGGATTGATGATATTCTAGAAACACTACAAGGATCACAATGGTTTTCGTCTTTAGATTTAGCAGGTGGATATTGGCAAGTTGAGATGATATCCAAAAGACTGCTTTCATCACACATCATGGACTCTTTGAATTCACTGTTATGCCTTTCGGATTAACAAATGCTCCTGGAACTTTTCAGATATTAATGAATAAAGTCCTCTGGGACATGTTATGGAAAACAGTAGTGGTATACCTCGGTGATGTCAACATCTTCTCGAAGACATGGAAGGAACATCTAGAACATCTAGAAAACGTTTTCGAACTTATACAAAAAGCAGGATTGAAACTCAGCCTGCGGAAATGTCAATTTGGAAATACGGAGTTGAAATTTTTGGGACACATAGTTGGAAAGGATGGAATCAAGATGGATCCAGCGAAGATAGAGAAGGTGCAGAACTTTCCTAAACCTATCAACGTCACCCAAGTAAGAAGTTTCTTAGGACTCTGCAATTACTATAGAAAATTTGTAAAGGGATTTGCAAAGAGATCTTCACCTTTAACAGAAATATTAAAGAAAGGAGAAGAGTTTAATTGGACAAATAGACAATAAAGGACTTTTAAAGTCTTGATCGAACAACTCACCACTGAGCCTATATTAGTATATCCAAACTGGAAGCAACCATTCATCTTATCTACGGATGCATCAACATTTGCTTTAGGGGCAATTCTTTCACAACTAGATAATAAAGGAAATGAAAGAGTGTTTGCATATGCTAGTAGACAACTAAGACCGGCAGAGAAGAACTATGCAGCAACAGAATTAGAATGCCTCGGCATTATTTGGGCTATAAAACATTTTCATACATACCTTAGTGGATCCAAGTTTAAATTAATTACAGATCATGCAGCATTGAAGTATTTAAACAATATGAAGGAACCAAAAGGAAAATTGGCTCGTTGGATAATGGCGCTACAATCATACAATTTCGAAGTAGAACATAGATCAGGAAAAAAGCATCAGAATGTAGATGCAATGTCTAGAATAAAAACGGGATACTGGGATTAATTAATTAAATAGAACATTTTAATTAGTATTATTTATATACAGTATATAACAAAAATTTTTTTTTTTCTCATATATTATTTTACTTTTCATATTATTAAATTATTACTTAACTTTCTTGCGGACATGATGACTTGGTGGATGATCATGACGGTGATCCACGGATCTGATTGGGGTGCATTACACTTTTTACACTTTATATTTTGCGTTTTTACACTTTACACCTTTTTATAAATTATATTAGTTTAAATATTATCCTTATTTTTTTTTTTTTTTTTGTTACACATTTCATATTATTTTTATATCTTATATCTTATATATTTTATTACATATTTTATATATTGTGAAATAATGCTAATCAATTAACATTCTGCTGGTTTAGATAGAAAGCAAAACCATAAAAAGAAACCATTAAATTACGTATCTACAATATCTAATAATCATAATATCCTTAATGGCAATTTAGAATTGGGTAAAATAGGGACATTGCATTCAATTAGATTGGGAGGCAAGTGGTTGGATTTTATAGCAATGGTTAACTAGCCATTGAATCGAGAATACCAGTTAGGTGTATAGGCATTAATTTTAAGCAGGCCTAGCCGGTTCGATTTTTGAGTTACTCCAATTTTTTTTTTTTTTGGATTGATAGTAGCAGGGGCAATAGTTTTCTTTTTTTATTTAATTGTTTGTATTTTATTATTATATTTTACACAATTATACTTTAATAAAAATAAACTTCAACTTGGGAAAAAAATAAAAATATAAATAAAGATTTTTATTATTTAAATCTGCGCATTTATAAATTTACGTGTAACAAAAGAATTTTCCCCGTGATAAAATCAAAATATGATCTATAAATCGATGAATTATTAAATATCTGCTATATAGATTTAGTTTCGGCATTTTACCTGCATGAAAGCCGAAACTAAAGAAAACAGAAAATCCCTATCAACAAAGTGGAAATCACCAGAAAGGATAAAACTAAATCCTTACTATTATTGAAATTATATATTGGATTGATTGACCCAGTTATTATACAGTCTGTTAATATTAACATTAAGAAAAAAACGGCGGTGGCAAAAGGCTGTATATTAAATTTAGATTCTTTGACATGAAAAATGCTATTGCCAATTTTCTGTTAAATTTTGTAGCAAAAGTTCCAGAGATTATGTATATAAAATTTTATATTTTCAGATTTTCTATAACTTTGTCAATTGAAAATAAAAAAATTTTGATTATTTTTTCAATGTAATAATTACTCTCTTCAAAAATTTTGTTTATTTGGTATAATTTTATTGCATAATTTTCATTAAAAACAATATTTCACAATCCGCCATTTTTTCATTAACACACTGTAATATATATATTAAGGGTAATTGAATAATTAAAAAATCATGGAAGAATAAAACAATCTAAATCTTTACTATTTACATTATATTAGTGTATAGTGCAATAATGATGACATCAAATTCCTAAAATTCTTAGTAATACAAATGCAGTACATCCTATATAATAATATAATAATAATAGTAATAATAATATTTTTAACAAATAAATATATAAATATATTAAATGTCTATCTAAGACCTTTATTTTGAATAAGAAAAAAAAATAAAAAAGTGATATTTTTATTTTGAACAAGAAAAAATAATCAAAAAGTAATATTTTTTATTTTGAATCTGAATTAAGTAAGGAATTCTGAGTGACAAAATTATTTAATATTAAACGAGATTCTTTACAATGGATTTGTTCTTCCCTCCATCTTTTAATAAATCCATTTATTAAATTTTCTGGTAATCTAAAAACTTTGTTTTTATTATTTAATGATTCCAAGGAATTAATATGTGAATCAATAATAATGGATTGATGTTTCCAAAACTGTGTTAATATTGTGAGATTGGTTATGATTATTGGTAATTTGTTGGTGATTTTGTCATTGTATTCCTTGACTGTTTTGGCATGTTTTCTTTCTTTACTCATTACAATAGCATTACTCTTACTATTAAATATCGTTAAGCGATTTCTTTTTATAATCTTGTATAACCTTTGAAATCTGCTAAACAATTCTTTAGGATTATAATTAAAATAATAATATCCTAACACTAATCTACATGCTAAATTAATTGGTAAATTATTGGGAAATAAATTAGCTAAACTATATGATGTGCTTGACTCATTTGATGCTATGCTATTATTATCATCATTGTTGATACTATTACCACCAACCATACCATTGTTATATGATGATATTTGTTCCAAGATATATGATGATTTATTTTCTCTGATTTTAGCAAATTTACCACCGCCCATTAAATTCCTTTGATAAGAATTGATTGAATTTCCATATATTATTAAATTAACATTAAGTAATTGTAGAAATTTTTTCAATATAAATATTAAAAAAGAAACCTTTGCCACTTCATATAAAATTGATGAAGTCGTCTTTGCCACTTCAATCAAGAATGATTTCAATGCACCTTGAAAATTCTCAGATTGATTTCTATCTTTTATTATTAAATCTTGTAGTAAAAATACCTTCTTATCATCACCATGCACATCAAATGATTGATTATCATTTATTTTTTTTATTTCTGTTTTAAATTCTTTGAATTGATTTTCCAATTTCTCGGAATCTACAATTCTATTTTTCACCATGTCTTTTAATGTCGCTAACGTTTTTAATAAATCTTCAACGCTGGTATCTTCTTTAATGAGCATCTGAAAATAATCCAAAATCTCTTCCAGGTACATTGACATTTTAAGAGATTCTTTGGCTCGTTCCATTATCAACTCATCAAATATACTACTTAAATGATTCAATTCCGTTATATTTTCTTCGGTAGCCGAGTATTTAACACACAATTCTTTCAGACATCGAAAAGCTACCAAAATTTCTTCAACATTTTTTTGTAGTATGTTGGGATCTGGAAATGTTACATCTTCATGTTGTTTTAAATCAATTAAAGGCATCATCTCTATTAATTTTTAATTTAAAAATTTTTTTAATAGATCGTGTAACTTTATTCTATGGTGCGAATTGTCTAGATTTGGTAAAAGATTTTAATCACTATGTTAAAATTTACGGGGTAGACAATTGTTTCTCAATCTTGTCGTTGATAAGGTAGATTGATAAAAGGATAAAAGGTTCCAAATTTGTTCAATTGTAGTGTAATAATAGATGTGATATATGACACACACACATACATACATATAAATTTTTTAAATAATTAAATTATTTATTTGTTAGGAGATGACAACTAATCTTCAAACTCATAATGCTTGTAACAATAAAATACAAAATGCTGAAACTTTGACTTTGACTAGCTTTGAATTTGAAAGACCTTTTGAAGAGGATAATGAAAATGTACTCTCAAAATTATTTCAACGTGTAAAAAGTTCTTTTAATGTTTCTGGTGGTGATAATTCAACAACAACTTGTGCACCTACGCAAGTTATGACCAAAAACACCACCGAGACCATAAACAACGCTACTCTTAATAACAACAAAACTAGTAGTAGTAACGTAATTTCCGCAATTTCCACTAATGCAAATAACACAATTAACAGAAACCAAGAAAATGGCAATAGTCCACCAACAAAACCTCCTTCACTTTTATTGCCCGATAAAGAAAACAAGGGTTTTGTTCAAGGTGCTACGCCTGCACCACCTGTCATTTCTTTAGAAGCTGCATTATTTGATAATGCCCCTGCATTTTTATTAGATTCAGAACTTATGATACAAGATCATTCAACCAATTTAGATGATTCTAGCAGTTTATTGTCCAACAAGTCTAGTACATTATTTGATCAACAAGATCAAGTCAGATATTTGAATGATGTATCAGTAAGATCACTTCAAACTAGCGCATCACCAGTTAATAAAAAAAATTCTGTCAGTAAAGCTATTCGCAGAATACGTGGTGAGGGTGTCAATAGAGATTATTGGATGGCTGATGATACTTGTAAAGAATGTTATGATTGTAAGAGCACTTTCAATCTTGTGAGAAGAAAACATCATTGTCGTCTTTGTGGCAAGTTTCTTTATTAATTTGTAAATACTATATATATACATATATCAAATTTATATATTTATTCATTCATTTATTCATTTATCGCAACTTTTGATATTATTTTATTTTTAAGGTCAAATATTTTGTAACAAATGCTCCTCCAATATAATACCTGGTGCAAAATTTAACCACAATGGATCAATGAGGGTTTGTAATTTTTGTTATGATGAAGATTCTGATATTGAATCAGATATAAGACAAAGTGATAAAAATGATTTCTCACTTATGATACCTCAAAGACAACTTCAATCACCAACAATGTTGTCAGATAATTATAATGTCATTAATCCCAATAATTCCCAATCAGAATTTTCTTACTCGTTGGCGACATCTTCAACACCTAGTCTTGTGTATCAAGAAACTCCATCCCCTGATACAATTTCAATCAATGACGGCTTCAAAAAAATGATTGTGGCTGGTTCCTCATTGTTTATGACAAGATCTAGATCAAACACAACCCTAGATGACATTCCTGCACTCTTGCCATCATCCGCACCATTTAGACATAGTATACCAGAAGATAAAATAACTCCTGCTGCAAATCCTGAGGCTGTGTTGGATCCTGACATTGCTCCATTCATGAGTAGTGATGATGAGGATAACGTTAATTATGATTCGCTAACCAACCAATCTTATATTTCTGCTAATTCGAATCTTAATAATGGTAATAATGATCCTGCTATTCTGTCATCTACTGTTGAAGAATATGCTGGAAGCGACGATGAATATTGCGATTATAACAGATCGCAAGCGAAGAATTTACAAAAACTTCAAATTCACACAAAAGATAAAAATCCTCCTTTAAATCATAGAAGAAGTCTTTCTATTACTCGTTCAACTCGTTCTTTGAAAAGAGGTGGTTTTCTACAAATGGATTCAAGGCCCTCATCACCTCTTAACATTCGCCATAACAGATCAGCCTCAATCCCTGTAAAAATTGAAATAAATCCTGTTTCTCTGCAACACATGAGACGATTTTTACGTCAGTTTCTTCAAGAATTTCAGATAGATTTATCTGAAGGATGGGAAAATGTTATAATGAAATTAATGATGAAAGTGGCCGATAATTTAAATCCAAATGTTCGTGGTGGTGATGAAATTGATATTCGTCATTACGTTAAAATTAAAAAAATTCCTGGAGGAGCACCTCAAGACTCGGAATATGTGCATGGAGTTGTGTGTACAAAAAATCTGGCACATAAAAATATGGCACGTTCTCTTCTAAATCCTCGGATACTCATATTAACTTTTGCCTTGGAGTATCATAGGGTTGAAAATCAATTGATGTCTTTAGATCCTGTGATTGCTCAAGAGGAAGAACACTTAAAAAATCTAGTTGCTCGTATTTCTGCATTGGCACCTCATTTAGTCTTGGTTGAAAAAACTGTTGCTAGAAAAGCTTTACAGTTTTTGTTGGAAAAAAATATATCTGTTGCATTAAATGTCAAATCATCTATTATAGAAGCTGTTTCTCGTTGTTCAAGAGCAGACACTATATCAATCGAAAAGTTAAACATGGCGCCAAAATTAGGGAAATTTGGTTCATTCTCTGTTAAAACTTTTGTTCATCAACTTATTCCAGGTAAAAGAAAAACCTATTTATATTTTGAAAATTGTCCAAGAGAACTAGGTTGCACAATAGTGTTGCGAGGTGGTGATATAGATACATTGAGAAAGATTAAGCAAATCACCGATCTTATGGTTTTTGCGGTTTACAACCTTAAATTGGAAGCAGCTTTGTTGTCAAATCAATTTGCAAGATTAAATTATGATCTAAGTTTAGCTGATGGAAAAAATGATGATGATGACGACCATGAAAGTAAATACATTGGCATTTTAAAACAGACACAAAATATTTTAAGACCATATGAAACTAAAATTTTTTCAGTATCGCCATTTATCAAATTTCCTCCTCCTTATTTGCTTACAAAAATGATACAAGCTGAACGTAAATTGGCAAGTTTAAACCAGAAACGTACTTCAGGATGGCAATCTAGTTCTTCGAAAGATAATGAGAAATCACATTCCTCACAACCAAGTAGTGGTATTCTACGTACACAAGAACAAGTTTGTGCCGAAGGAGTATTTAAAGATGCGTATCTTGAACATCAATGTCAGTCTGAAGCATGGGAAAGTTATAAATTTAATAATGTTGCTAGTCCCTATGCCCTTCAAAATATCACAATACTATTTACGAAAGTTTGTGAAGAAACTCAGAAACCATGTATAGGACCTGAAATTTTGGTCATGGAATATTACAGAGAATCTGATCGTACGCTTGGTCAATATATTGAAGACTTGTTTACCAAATATGATTATATTTGTCAAAATTGTGATAAGCCAATGTTCCTACACCATCAAAGTTTTTGTCATGGAAATGCCAGAATCACTGTGCATCTCATGGAATATGAAAATTTAGGACACCATCATGATAGACACGAAAATTGTATTTTAACATGGAGTTATTGCAAAAAATGCGAAAAATCAACTCCAGAAATTCCAATGTCAGAAGATGCATGGAAGTACTCATTTGGAAAGTATCTTGAGTTATCATTTTATCAAACAGAATTAAAAAGTCGCAACGAAAATTGTCAGCATGATGTATTTAGAGATCATGATAAATGTTTTACATTCAAAAATTTAGTAATAAAATTTGAATATGAAGCTATCAAGTTAATGGAAGTATATTCACCACCACGTATGCACCTATATTTTAAACCTGAAGCTCTCATTCGGCTAAAGAATCAGGATTTAGATACAGTCCGCAATAAGATTACAAGTTATTGGGATTCTGTAGCCGATCGAATCAAAAACTTCGATTATGATCTTGTTCAACCAGATAAATTTGAACGTTGTAAACGAGAACTATTAGAAATGTCTAGAAGAGTTGTAACTGAAAAGAGAGACACGTTACAAAAACTTCAACAAACATATGTGAATAGCTTGCCTGAGGATAGATTGGCATTGAACAAAGTAATATATCTGCTTCAGGAAAGAGTGACGGCTTGGGATGAAGATTTCGGCGAAATTTCAAGACAATACTTTCCTCGATTGACTACAAGACAATTAAAAAGGTTTTTTGAGGTCAAACAATATGTTGTGCCATTGGAACGTGGTTATCCTGGCTCGCTTTTGAATGATTTACCATTGATAAATATGGATACAAATGATACTGATAGAACGGACGAAGAATTATTGAAACCAATAATATGTCCAAAATTGAGCAGCTCTCCCACTAGTGAATTTTTATTGAACGAGACAAAGGATATTGAATTGTATCATGAAGGTGAAATTGAAAATTTGGAAAATGATATCGAAAAGGTCAATTCACAAAGTTCAATGTTCCCATTCATGGATCCTAAAATTTCAAGACGTTTATCAATGAAATGGATGAAAGAGTCTAAAGCTTCTCAACCATCAAAAAAATCAAAAAATGCATCTGAATCAATTTTCACATCAATAATTGATAAACAAGAGGATTCACAACTTGAGGTTGAGTTCACGCAAGAGCCAGAAGTAATCCCACAACTGGTCCCTTCAACAATAAGAAGAAAAAAGAAACAATCACATAATACCGCTTTCACTATGTTTGAAAACACGAAAGAAAATGTAAACGCACCTGTTTTTAAACCAATTGAACCACTTATACCATCTACACCATCAATATCATCATCACTTTTCCCTCCAACGCAAACTTCTTCATTGCCTGTTCAAGTAAATCAAACCTCGCTTCGTAACAACAAAGAAACCAAAAAGGTTCAATATGATCGCCTTGCGCTAAAAAGGCCAGCACTAAAGAAAAATCAAAATTTACTACCTTCAGAAAAATCAACAACTACACAAAGCAGCAGCAGTGGAAAATGCACCAGACCTTCAATTAAAAATTTGCCTCCAGGAACTTTTGATAGTCGTAATAATAATAATAATAATGGTAGTGGTAGTAGTAGCAGTAGTAGAAGCAGTAGCAGTAGTAGCATTAGTAGCATCAGCAGCATTACTAGTAATAGATTTAGTGGTGATAACAGTAACTCAACTCGATCAGATAAGAATCGAAATCATAATAGAATAGGAGCATTACATAAATCTAGACCACTAAGACAAACTATCCTAAAATCAAAGCCTGTTATTGAGATATTCCGTAATGTTAATGCGGCAACAGCAGAAGAGTCAGATGAAGAGTTTGAGAAGGAAGGAGCAGACAATAATCGTGAAAAATTTTTGGAGGACAGATATCGAATTTTTTCATTGAACACTACAGATGCCTTTGATGAATTATTGGGAAATGAAGAATATTTTTCGATTCCTACTCGTGAAGCATCTGATGAATCATACATTTATCATTCAGCTTTGGCATTTTTAGGTCCAGAATTTAACGAACCTTCTACTCAAGCGTCAGAAGGTCAGTATAACCAGGAGCTTTTTTATTTTTAAATATATGATTTTCTTTTTTAAAAATTCTATTTTTTTTTTCCAGATCATCAGGACCTTAGTCACAACAATCCTGGAGTAGTGATGCCTTTGATGAGATCTCTCACAAACTTTTTAACCGATAGGAAAACCTTTAAACCTTTAAAATATCCTCTGTAAGAATATTTGTTATTATATAGGTGTGTATATATTATTTAACTTTACTTTGAAAATTAATTTTTATTTTATTTAGAAATCCAAACGAGCATGTATTTCCCGATTCCTCAATTATTTTCAGAGAAGATGAACCTGGGTCTATTATTGCATTTGCTTTAAAGTATTTCTTTCTAAAACAATATTTTGTCAAACATTAAAGATTAAGATTTATTCTTTTAAAAAAAATGATTTATATATATATATATATATTTGCATAGTTCACAAGAATATGAAAAAAAATTAAAATCTATGCAGTTAATAAACCAAACTAGTGAAACATTTATAACAGAAGATGAGAAATTTGGTAGTAGAAGTTCAACTTGGGGACTTTTAAATGTCGATGAGAGTGCTAATTTTGACGATGGTTTAACTTCACATATGAAATTTCGTATGTAAAATTAATTTTAATATTTTTATATTTATTATATTGTCATTCAAATTACATTTTTATAATATAATAATGATTATATATTATTTAAAGAATTTTCGGATAGATCTACAAAATTTTTTTGTAAAATATTTTGTACAGAAGAATTTCATAATTTACGTCGAGATTGTGATTGTGAAGACACATATATACAATCACTTGCACGATGTGTTAAATGGGACTCGTTAGGTGGTAAATCAGGATCTGCTTTCTTAAAGACGCGAGGTATGTTAAATAAATAAATAAATGAACAAATAGAATTTCAAAGCCTACAACATTAATTTATCTATTATTTTATTATTTGTTGCTTAAGATGATCGATTGATTATGAAACAAATGTCTCGTAATGAGATGGATGCTTTCTTGAAATTTGCTCCAAAATATCTTGAATACATGTCAAAAACTAATGTAAGATTGTTAAATTTTATTCATTTATAATTATTTTTTTTTTCTTAAAAATTTTAAATGTAACAATTATTATTATTGGTATAATATTTTATATAATTTAATAGAAGTCAACTGTTTTAACAAAGATATTTGGGTTTTATCGTATTGGTTATAAAAATGAACACACAGGAAAAAGCATGAAAATTGATGTTATTGTTATGGAAAACTTGTTTTACGAACGCAAAGTTTCAAGGGTATGAAGATAATATCTAAAGCTAAATCTACACATATATATATGTGTGTTTCTCGTTTGAAATCAACATTTTTAAATCGATATATTTTTTTTATTTATAAAATTTGTTAGATTTTTGATTTAAAAGGTTCAATTAGAAATCGACGTATTCGAAGTACTGGAAAGGAAAATGAAGTTTTATTGGATGAAAACTTACTTGAACGCAAGTGAAAACATTATAAATTATATCATCATTATTATATATACAAATTTGATAATTTTTGTTTATTTTTTTGCAAATAAATAGTCATTAAAAACGAAAATCCAATATATCTTCGAGAACATGCTAAAAATTCACTTCGTGAATCACTTAATAATGATACAACATTTTTGGCAGAACATAATGTTATGGACTATTCACTATTGGTTGGTTTTGATGATGATAAACAGGAATTGGTTGTTGGAATAGTTGGTAAGTAATTTTTTTTTATTTTATTGAGAATAAGATTCAAACGAAGTTTATTAATTTATATACATATATTTTGGTGAAAAGATTTCATAAGAACATTTACATGGGATAAGCAATTAGAAAGTTGGGTAAAAGAAGCAGGATTTTTAGGTGGAGGTGGTAAAGAACCGACTATTATTTCGCCTAGACAATATGGAAATAGGTTTAAAGAAGCAATGGAAAAATATTTTCTTATGGTGCCTGATAGATGGATTGACTATAGAACACTTGAAAAATTTGATACAATTTTTTAATTTATTTGTAAATGATCCTTACATACAAAAAATGGATTTTTGTATCATCATAAACATTAGATGTTTTTATTTATTTATTTATTTATTTTCGTCTTTATTTATTTATTATTTATTTATTTATTTATTATTTATTTATTTATTTATTTAGAACATTAATCATATTATTACACTTATAATTATAAAATATACAATTGGAGTATTATATATATTATTCATTATTATATAATTTTTGTTAATTAAAATTATCTTGTATTCAATCCTTCCATTTTAATCCGCCATTAAGAGATGACGTTTTCCTATCTAAAACTTCTAAAACTTTTTCAGGAACTCCAATTTTTGATTTACGATTTTTTAGAAAGAAATCTACAACTTCTGACTTGGACATACTTAATGAACCGGCATCAGGAGTCTCGCCAGTAATTACCATACGAATTTCTTCTTCAGATGGTAAACTGAATTTATAATGAGGGTGTTTTTCAAACGATAACTCATTCAAAAATTCAATTGTCTCGCAATCTTTTTCTGAATTAAAATAAAAGTTTATGATTTCTTCTTCATTTATGTCATTTATAGTACTTGGATTCCATTTGGGATTGTTGTCTTTATCAATTAAAAGTGCCCTAACTCCTTCTTTAAAATCAGATTTTTCCTTAAAAAAAAAAAATTATATATATATTTTGAGATTAAATTTTTAATTAAGAATAAATAAACAGACTTTATTTATTATCTTACCAAAAACTTTTGAACCACATTGTATTCCAACTTAAAACAATTAACTATATCTTTTTCTTTTCCTTCTCTTAATTCTTTTAACGTAACAACTAAGCTAGTAGGTGAATGTTTTTTTAATGTTTCCAATGTTTTTTTTGACCATTCAGTGCCTTCATTTTCGAGATTTTCAAAAATTTGATGAATTGAGTTTCCCTTAAAGCAGCTACATAAATATAAATATATAAATAAAAATGCGAGATTGTAAATAAATATAAAAAATGCATCGTTTATATATTTATAAAAAATGTAATAATAATTACCGGTCAATAGATTCTCTAATTTTGCCACCAAAAGAATACTTGTGTTCTTTCGGAGGCTCAGAAACAAATTCCTCAATAGCACTGTTTATCACTTCATGATCATCACTTTCTAATTCACTTAGTCGATCCTCTAATTGTTGTAATCTCTGTGATGGAACGTAATGAGATGCAACTCCTGATAAGCTTATACATTAATAACAAAAAAAATTTGTTTAAAAAAATTAATTATAATGAAAAACAAAAAATTAAATAAAATCGGATACCTACAAAACATCAATTCCTACTACATTTTCACAAGTTAAGGCAAGATAAGTACCAAGTTCACCATCCATTCTTGGTAAGAAAAAAGATCCACCCACGTCAGGGAAAAGCCCAATTTTTGTTTCAGGCATAGCAAAAATAGTATTTTCTGTTGCTATACGAAATGGTGCGAGAGCGGAAATACCAACTCCACCTCCCACTTTAATAATAAATTATAATCAAAAATCAGAAAACTATGTGAATGTTGGGTATCAGGTCTTTTAGCTGGGTTAATTTATAAAAATTTGCACGATCAAAAAAATAAACAACGTACTGGTGGCTCCGTCAATGATCGCTACAAATGGTTTATATACAGTAGCAATGAGATGGTCAAGTTGATATTCTTCTCTGAAAAAAGTTAGTACATTTGGTTTATTACTAGGATCTGACTCTAGTTGTTTTACAAGATCTAATTTGATTTTAAAATAATAATATAATTAAATGATGAAATCAAAACTCATATAATGAAAATAAATAAATACTTACTTACAACATCTCCACCAGCACAAAAAAATTTATTCCCAGTACCTTTAATAATAATAACATTACATAAATTGGACAAATTCCAAGCCTTATAAATAGAAATTGCAACAAATATATATATTTAATCTAATAACATTAAGCTTAAAAATCAATATCAATAAATATATATGAACCTGTAATTGTGGTGTGATACTTCTAATCACGTCAAGAGTTAACGCATTGGCCTTTGTTGGACGATTTAATATGAAAATTCGACTTCCCATATTTCTCCTTCGAAGTAAATCTGCCTTTAAGAAAGGTCGATAATTAGTTTAAACCTTTCAGTATTATTATTATTATTTATTTGTAAATCGGTAAAATACTTGTAATTGATCATCGGGAATAGCTTGTAAGCTGGTTTTAGAGTTAGTTGACATCTTGTTTTTTTTAAAAAAAAGAGACTATATTAATCATTATTTTAAATAAAATATGGAATTTAGATCTAAAAATATAATACCATTTTATGAAATATAAAACGATTTGGACATTTTACATATAAAGATGAATTGTGAGAGTTACTTTTTGATAAAAGATTGTATAAACTTCTAGTTCCAATAAAAGAATTTAAAATATTATTTCTTTTTAATGGAGTGGTTAAGAAAGTTTGTCTTAACATTATTCGAATATAAAGAAAATTTTTTTGGATCTTATAATTACAGAGGATAGTGTCACAAATCTATAAAATCACAAATGTCATAAATGTCATAATGATTTTTCTCGATTATTAATTAATACACCTTTTTTTACATAAACTGTTATAACTCATCATATAGATGATTTTAACCTCCTTTATATTTACTTCTTGAGTTAATTATTTATATACTTGGTGACTAAAACTTTTGATTTTCTTAGTACATCATCCTTGTGATCACTACTTCAAGAAAAAGACAATAACAAAGAAAATACTCAAGTATAATCATATTATTTATTTCAATACATTAATAATCAGTGTTCAATAACGATTAATATTGCAAATATTAACCCGACCTTTACAAAACAATTATTCTCTTTAGGGATTGAAAACAAAATTTAATTCATGGCTATCTAATTATCTTAATGAAACCATTGATAGACTTACCCCTTCCTGCCAACCATCAGGATCAACTTTTGGAGCAGAAAATCTCCATATCTATCTTTGGTACTGATCTACATAATAAAATTTACGCGTTTTTTTTATAATTCATATAAATTATTATTATTATTAAAATGTCAACTCGTGAAAGAATTGAAGGGGCATTCATTGTTTCTAAATTTATTTCAAGGAGTGGCTGGTTCAGATGAATTTGATGAAGGCGAATTGCTGGATAAATACTTTGTTGTTATTGTTCGTCATTATTAGTAGAAGAGGCTATCCTTTGAACTGGGTAAATGCTTTGCCGTTTTTGTTGTTTTTCATTATTAGTAGAAGAAGCTAACTTTTGAATTGGGCAAATACTTTGCCATTGTCATCATTAGTAGAAGCTACTTTTTGAATTTAATGGACACTTTGTTGTTGAGGTTGAGGTTGTTTGTTATATGATATTCTCGTTTTCTTGTTTTCATTTTTTTAAAAAATTTTTTTTTTGGAAAAATCGTTGTTTTTCCCGTTCCTTCTGATCAGCCAATAAAAATTAGTTATGATCGTGTAACAAGGAACAGATAACAAGAAGAAGAAAATACAGTGTTGAAATTGTGAAGTTTGCAAACCTCTTCAAAGTGATTTAGAAGTTTTTAATAAGATATATCATTTATCAGGTCCAATTCCAAAACTAGATGGTGGAGGTTATAGAACATTTGAAGAACTATATGACGCTGAAACTGCCGAAGAATTACATCAAAGTTTAAACGATCCATGCACATTATAGCTAAAAACCCCTAAAGGCATGGATCTTGATTTGGAAAGCGAAGACAAATTATGTGTTCCATTGCTTCCTGGTCATTTAATCTTAACAAAAAAGTACAAGTTCATTCGATTATTTATTAATACTAATTATTTTAATTGTAATTTTGACAACTTTAATTGATTTTATTGATGATTATATATGTAAACATACTAATGAATATGTATATGAAAAAAGAAAAAAGGAATATCCAAAAACCCTAATTTGTTGAAAAGGAATTTTTCGATAGGGGGAACATGCAATATTAGTAGATTCATCAACAATATTTTAGTGGGAATGAATATGATCGGTAGATAATCTATATACTTGATTTCTTGATTTTAACGAACTCACTGTTACCATGCCCGTGATCCGATATGTCGATTGTTTTAACGAAAGAATACAACTCAATCAAATCAGTGCAACATACTTTGTAACAATTTAGAAAGAATTGGCAACGATTCTATCTCTCTTTGGAAATTTTCGAAAGAAAAGGAAAATTTTCGTTTCACAAAATTGATTGCATTGTATAAATCTTTTAATCATTGATCATTGATCATGATCACTTTTTAAAACGTTCAAAGTTGTATTTATAAGTAAAAAAAAAATGAAAAAGAAATCATTTGATTAAAATCGAGCCTTTTCCAAAAATGTGAAATTAATTAAGCTTTTTTTTGAAAAAGATCCTTTCCTGCTATATACTAAGAATACCAGCAAGAAATTAATCCATTATTGATTTAGTATTAGCATCGCCACTAGAAAACAATTTGGAATTAATTCATTTATTATTTAAAAAAAATATTTAATTAAATTTAAAGAAATCAAGTTTTTTTTTGAAAATGAAGAAAATGTAAATTTATTAAAATATTTATTTCTAATATAAAAACGACCATACCTTTTTTTGAAAGTGTGAAAATTAATTTTTATTATATTAAAAACGACCATGCCCTTTTTGAACGTGTGAAGAAAAAAACGTAACGATTCGGAACTAATTTTTCTAATATGTTTGCTGAAGGACAAGTGTATATTGCAATGAGTCAAGCTCCCTCATTGGAAAAACTGCAAATCCTTGATTTTGATTATTTCCAATTAAAAATTTCCGGGGCGGTTTTTGTAAAAGAAAATATGCTTTGTAAAAAAGTTGAATGTAATTAATAGTCGTGATGTATTAAATTTTTAAATTCCTGAAAAAATTCCATGCTGAAATGCTCGTGTAATGTTATGGTTACACTAACTCACTACCCAATGAAATTTGTTGTCTGTGAAACATGAACTTGATATGTTAACAGGACCGGGAAAACTCTATTGTATATATGTGACCGCCAAATTAAATGACAAATCATATTAATGCGAATTCTTGGTTTTTTATAATAATAATAATTATTATTATTATGCGAAAATTATTAATAATGCGAATCAAAATAGCCGAGGACATATGAAATTATCTTTATTGACTAAAATATTTAAAAGAAAGTACTTGATTGACTAAAATGATTATAAATTAAAAATGGTTCATCATCTATACTGCAATCAAACAAGAATTAATATTAGAATAAGAATGTATTCCCAAAAAAATAAACTACTTTGGTGTAAATATGAATTGTAATGTCTCCTCCTGCCAAATTTCACATGAAAAATACCGTCGTGATACAGGAAGATCTAAAAATCCTGCCGGCTTTTCTACCCATGAATGTCCTTGCCCACATTTTTCATAAAACGTGATAATTGACTCCAAGTGAAAGAAATAATTTGACCACATTTACAAATAACTTTTTTTTATTAGTGACATTTTTTTAAATTTTTTTTTAAATTTTTTATCAGTACATATGTATTTATTATTATTATTGTGAATATAAAATAATGCGAATTATTTATTATAGTGTAACCGATAATAATAATAATAATGCGAATCAAGTGTAACCGATAATAACATTTTTTATTAATAATGAGAAATCAAGTGTAACTTATAGATGGGTGTCTAAACTAAATTATTTAGACAATGTCTAAAAGTATAAATTAATTTAGACATTTATATACACGTGACTTTTAGTTGTATTTAAAGCAAATCACTACTATTTATATTAATTTAGACATTTAGAGAATAGTGGAGATTTGAAATGTTACATCAATTTTTTATATTGTGCAATGTAACTTTACAATACACGGCAAACATTCTGGCAATAAAAAGTAGTGATAAACTGGATTCGAATCGGATCTCCAATTTAGAGAGGTAACAACTAATATACTAATACTGGTGAAATTTCAGGAGCAATGAGTTCTGTATAACATTTCGTGTAACAACAAATTTTTACTATGCTGACATTTAGACATTTTTGTCTAAATACTGTTTTGACTTTAAACAAACCCAAAAACAATTTAGACGCCCATCTATAAGTGTAACCGATGACATTTTTTATTTTTCTATGTCTGAGAATCAGTGTAACCGATAATATATTTTTCTTAGAATAATATAAAAGTGGAGACCTTTTCCGTTTTCTATCAAATGCGAATCTATGGTGAGGCGGTCACATTTTTTTTTTTAAGTACTTTCGAATCGTAGTGTTGGCGGTCACATTCAATAGAGTTGATGTGGTTCACACTTCCCTTCTAAAACTTGTTTGATTATATAATTAAATGCATATCGGTGAAACCTCCATTTTTATGAAAATTTATTAATATAATCGGAAAAAATACCGAGTTTAATAGCGGAAAAACACCGAGACTAATCACGGAGTAAATTTTTACGCAGCTGCTTAAAAAATATTAATTGCGGAAAAACGATTATCTAAAAATTAGAGATTTCATGAAGCTTTATTTTCAAATTTAGTCATTTCTGGAGGTTTGCAGCTTGCAGAAGGATGATTTTAGTAGTGGATTTGTTGTCCAAAATTCAAAAATCGTTATCATATAAAACAATACTTGAAAATCTTACTAAATACATAAAATGTTCTCACAAATAATTCTGTTGTACGCAATTCGCCATTTGCGTGTTTTTCCCAATTTAGTAATTTGGCTTTTACAAAAATCCCCAAATTGATGCCTAGCCCGCCAATATTATTATTATCGGATATTTTTGTGGGCGGATACGATTGTGTCATATTTCAAAAAAAAAAAACCATAAATCACATGACAAAATAAATTTTGAAACGTATTTTTTTTTAATCTTTACCATTATAACAATAACTAAAGTCCAAAAATCCATTATTCCTACATACATATATATAAGTAAGTTATTGGGCGCAGCGACCAATATCATGACATCCTGGATGTTACTTAAATTGTCCAATGCCTTGTCTATAATGGACAATTACTAAGTGAAGCCCCGCCATAACGAACTTCTCTTTTATTACTATATTACTATAATGAACAAACATGCAAAAATATTTATCTGACAAGAAGTTTCATTATCGAGAGTTAACTGCATTTTATATTGAAAAAATTAATAAAGAATATTTCAAAATGAATTAATATATATGTTTATAAATAATTACATAAAAACCATTTTAATATTACGATAC